TAGTTTTCAGTTCATTGAAGTTTTGACCCTTATGTATTTTGAACAGATGGAGCAGTCCATCTCCTCTCTTGCATTTGAAGGTTCTATTTCTGAAGCAATTGTTGAAGCCAAGAGGCAGAAAAAACTCTTTGTTGTTTATATTTCAGGTAAAATGCGTCTTATATTTCGTAGTTATTTTTTGTTTTCTCCTGCTCTTGACAGATGTTCTTAAGGTATGCACCAATAATATTTTGGGAAATTCTGCTGACGAGACTCCATAAATATCGAGGTGGAAAAGAAAAGTAATTTGTGGTCTTCATTCATACAATTTTCTGCACTAATTGTGGTCATCGCTTATAGGCAGTGATTGTGATTACTTAATAATGTCATGGAAACGTACCACTCATGTATGTCTCCATGACTTTGTGCAATTATTTTTCATGCCAAATATGCTGATGAACAAAATGGCTTTCAAAAGTGAGGATGTGAAAGATGAGTGGAAAAATGTGAAAAGCAAAATTTATGATACAACTTTTTTTTGGGGGGATGGGGAGGGTGAGGGAAGTAGTAGAAAGTAAACTCATGTATGTCATCATGACTTTGTGGAATTATTTTTCATGCCAAAAAATGCTGAACACAATGACTTTAAAAGTGAGGATGTCAAGATGGATCAGTTGAAAAATGTGAAAAGCAAAATTTATGATAAAAATAGTAAAAAATAAATGCATAGGAGTGACATCTCAAAGTTAAAGTGATGTGATAAAATTCAGTAGGATGAACTTATATATGTACTTGCCTCAAAGTGTAAGTGGAGGATGCCTCAGAGGTAAACACAACTTTATTCTATAGTAATAGGGTTTAAACCTGAGGTCAACTGGTTAGCGGAAATAATTACAAACATTAGGCTGGTATCCAATCTACTTCTCTCAGACCCCAATTCACATGAGGGAAGGCTCTAAAGCAGTAATCATAAAGTAAGATGCAAAAAAAAAATAGTAGAAAATTTGATGGGTTGCCAGCTAGGAAGCACGAACATTTTATAATAGCTAGAGTGTTGATGTCAGACACGCTTCGGATACGTGTTGAACATGCTAAAATGAGTGTTCGATTTTTTTATTTCTTAAAATTTTTTCAAGACATGTTAGGGACACGTTCAGAACATGTTGGGGATATGCGATCGACATGATTGGGATACGTTTTGAGAATTTTTTTTCAATTTTGTGAAAATTTTCTCAAATAACTTTATAATCAAAGGAGTTATTTTTGTAAATTAGAAGAGATATGAGTCAAGGTCATAATATCAAATGAATGTAACATAATTTTAGATACGAATCTAAACTTATATACAAATAGAATAAACTTTTAACATGATAGTAATTTGAGGAAAAATGGGGCTACAAATTAGGTTCTTTGAAATTGATAAAAATTAGTATTACGAATTGGAATAATTTTTAAAATGAAAATTGCAGTAGTCATTGATCGTTGTATCCTAGATGTTAAGGATGAATGTGTATCGATATATCTTATACTAGGGATAACCCGTGCCTGAAGACATAGTGCAATATGAATAATTTTGAGAGGGATGCTGGTAGCCGTTGGTTGAGTCTATTTGAGACCGTCTCATGGGTTTATTGAAATCTACCTTATTTTATATTATAGATTGTATTCTTTATGTAGTGATATCATGATGTGAATTTTTAAAATTTGAGAAAAGATGAATTAAAAGATTATTATGATAATATTTTTATTTTCTCACATGATTATATATATATATATATATATATATATATATATATATACATATTACTTAACGTGTCTTTAATTTGTCCGTGCCTTACTTTTTTGAAAAATTTCGTGTCGACGTGTCTTTGTCATGTCACATCCGTGTCCGTATTTCTTAGGTTGCTAGATGGCTGAAAATGGTATTGAGTGTGTATAGTACCTTAGCGAGCAGGAAGCTTTTATACCCAGTGGCTTAGAAAATTCTTGGAATTGCCTCACGCTTTGATGCAAGATAGTTTATTCTTTCCACAAATTTTTAATTTTTTACAAATCTGAAAATTATGACCGGATGAGATTCCAATTAAGGTTTGGAAGTGTTTAGGGAAAGAGAGGGTGTCGTGGCTAACGAAATTATTCAATAGAATTATTGCTACTAGGAAAATGACCGATGAATGGAAAAAAAGTATTTTAGTACCTATTTATGAAAATAGAGATATTCAAAATTGTAATAATTATAGAGGAATAAAATTGATGAGTCATACAATGAAATTATGAGAAATGGTCATTGAATGTCGCCTAAGAGTTAAGACTACAGTGCTGAAAAATTAGTTTGGGTTTATACCGAATAGATCAACTATGGATGTTATATATTTATTGTGGACACTCATAAAAAAGTATAGAGAGAAGAAAAAAATTTTCATATGGTATTTATAGATTAAAAAAAAACGTACGATAAAGTGCTTAGAAATATAATATGGAGGGTATTTGAGAGAAAATGAGTGACGAATAGGTATATTGAGGTGATAAAAGACATGTATGACGGGTCTATGATTACAATTAGGTCTTCCATAGGAGAAAGTAACGAATTTTCAATCACGGTGAGATTTTACCAAGGATCGACCCTAAATCCATACCTATTCGCTCTAATTATGGATGAACTCATTAGGCACATTCAAGATGATGTCCTCCTGTGTATGCTACTTGTAGATGATATTGTATAAGTAGATGAAATTCGAAAGGGGATTAGCAATAAACTAAAAATTTAGAGAGGGATATTCGAGTCGAAAGGATTTAAAATAAGAGTAAAACTGAATATATGTAATGTAATTTTAGTAATAGAAAAGGTAGACATAGTGAAAAAGTTAAGATTGAAAATCAAGAAATACCAATGAGTAAATGATTTAAATATCTAGGATTGATCATTAAAAATGATGGAGAGATTGAAGATGATGTAACTCATAGAATCAACGCTGGTTGGCGTAAGTGGAAGCAAGTCTCTGGCATATTATGTGATAGAAGAATACTAATAAAATTGAAAGGTAAGTTTTATCGAACAGATATAAGGACAACAATGTTGTATGAAACGGAATGTTGGGCAACTAGGAAACAACATAGAGGCAAAATAAGTGTAGTGGAAATGAGAATACTAAGGTGGATGAATGGAAAAACTAGAAATGATAGAATACGAAATGACTCAATGGTAGGAATAGCTCCAATTGAGGATAAGTTAAGAGAGAATATATTAAGATAGTTTGGTCATATTCAACGTAGGTCGATAGAGGTATCGGTTCGAAAAAGTGATAGAATTCTCTTAATGGTACTAGAAGTAGTGGTAGACCTAAAATAACATTGCACGAAATAATACGAAAAGATATGAAAATATTTAACTTAAATGAGCGTATATCGCATGGTCGAAATGAATGGCGGAGACGGACTTATATAATTAATTCCAAATGATTGGGACATAAGGTTTGGTTTGGTTTAGTTTTTTAGTTCTACGAATCTGAAAATATTTGGTTTTTGAACTTTTATAGTATTTCCCTTGGTTTCTCTTATGGTTAAGCCTGAGGGCCATCATTATCTATGACTTTTACATTAAGAATTGATTTGGCTTCAAGGTAGTTTAATTGGCTGCCTATTTTGAAAAATTTGTCATATTTTCTACCCGAGCAGAGGATTTGTCTAGGGATAATCAGGTTCTGGTAAAGACTTGGTGGCATTGGTATTTGAATGAAACTCTAGTGGGTCTAAAAATACTTGGTGGTTGGAAAGCTTCAAATAGGACGTGGAGGTGGTGGGATATGGAGTTTTAATATGTTAGTTTGTTAAGATGTTGATGTATGAATCAAGGATATTAGTTTGGTAAGATGCTGATGTGGAAATAAACCACAGGAATTTTAAATTAGCTCTCTAGATGTTCAACTTCTATCAAATACACTCAAGGGGGTGCAGCAAATAGTTTTCCCCGTTCTTGGACGCCCCACGAGGGGACATTTATATTTTTTTAATTATCAATAAATTGGTTTAGAATTGCTTTGTGGCACACACCGTTCAATTTAATCTAGGAAGTGGGTAACAGGAGCAAACTGGACTCATGGTTATTACAATTCACTAAATTCTTAACGACCCACGATCTGGATACATCGATCCAAAATATGGTGGGTTTGCGATCCAGATCACCAAAATTGACGACCCAAATTGCAATACTAACTCTAAATCAATTCCCTTTAGAACATGTAACACAAATATAAAATACATATTAATTAACTACATGTATATAGATTTATAATTATATATTGTTTTAGAAAATAGAAAATCAAGCACAATTATAAGATAAATGGTAACTAACTTAGTATTTATGAATGTTTTGTAATATATAATGTTGTATAGTAGTGAAAACGATCTACATAAGAGTTCCAAAACGAATTGCGACCGAAAATACCGTACCAATTAAACCTATCCCATCGTACCACGTAGCTAAGAATGTGTCGTACCATGTACCCGTACCTGTACCACGTACCAAAGCGACCCACGATCCAGGTAACATGGACTGGACTAACAAGTTGGTTGTTGAAATTTTCTTATACTTTTTGTTTTGATTTCCTTTTTTCACATCCTCTTCACCCTTACTCTGAATATTCTATATGTTAACTTGTCACTATTTGTGTTATCTCAAACACAACTTCAGACTCAATGTTATGCTGGAATGTGGAAGGAACTTAGTTGGTTTTGAAGCTCAAACTGTTGATTTCTTTTTAGTAACTTCTCATTTATAATAGCCTTTGTTTTTGTGTCTTTTTGCTACCTTTGCTAGTATATTATGTGACGATCTCTTTTTTTGACTACATGATTTGTTATTTTGTGTTTAAAATTGGTCAGAGTGTTATAAGTGGATTTAACCATGTGTGCCCACATTCCTATCATGCATTACCCCTCCTCACTAAAGCAATTTAGATTTTTTTTTGCCTAGTCTTGATGCATGGTGCTTAGGGCATGATGCATTATATTCTAAAAGTTAGATGATGCTACCTAGGATGGATATTGACTTTGTCTGGGAATTTAGATTTGGGTGTTCACATAGGCTGGGCTTTGCTCCTTGTAATGGTGGTTGAGTTGGTGGTACCTAATATGCATATCTACTATTTTGGGGAATTTGGAGATGGAGGTTCAGATAGGTTGGGCTTTGTTATTGTAATGGTGGTTGAGTTGCAACAGTATGTTTATCAAATTGTACTGTGCAACTTTAGTTTTTGATTTTATTTTTAAGTCTTCTAATAATCAATTTAAAAATTGTTTGGCTTGTTGGTTTCCTCTAATTTAATGTTTACATGTTTAGGTGATGACCCGGAATCAACCCATTTAGAAAAATCCACCTGGACAGATTCAAAGGTTGGTTTCAGTTTGCTACTATTTCTTGATATTTGACTATGCTGTTGTTATGATTTACCTCTGCATTGGTGTTCTTATAGTAACATACTCTATTCAGGTGGCAGAGTCATTATCAAAGTACTGCATTTTGTTACACATCTTAGGTGGTAGTACCGATGCAGCACAATTTTCTGCTCTATGTATCCTTTGCTTAAATAAAATTCCTAAGTTACATTTCTTAGTTATCTCTATTCCTTGATAAGTATTAGTTGACACTGATTTGTGTGAGCAATTTATCATCAATATGTCTTGTGTTGTAGAGGAACTAATTGTGGATGACTAAGTTGAATTAATTCAGCATTCTTCTCTTTTGGGGTAATTATTAGCAAAAAAATATCTACTTTCTTTTTTTAGCTTTTACATTGGTAAACCTAGTGTCAAACTCATTTGATTTTGTATTTTGTATTTTGTATTTTTTTTGTGGAAATATGAGCTTTCAAGTTTTTTAAGTTAAAAAATGAAAATTTTACATGAAAACATGTCTTTTTCATAGAGTAGGTGAAGACATGTCTATATATAGAGGCACATATATGCTTACATATTAATCTTTGTGGTTATGTGTATCATAAATATGTGGTTACTTTCTCATAGTTGTTTGCTTGCACCCTCTGTTGCTTGGACAATATTTTTGGTAGTTCATCTTTATTATCTGTAACATTGCCTGTGGTTTAATTGGCCAAATATTTAGAGCATTTTATATGCTAGAATATATTGTGTTGGGGACAATAGAATACTATTAATGTGTTTGGGATATTCAATCTTTTTTATTTAAGATTATTAGTGTGAGTTGGAATTTTTTTTTTTAATTGTGGACACTGCTCCTATTTGTAAAATTCTTCACAAAGTATTCTTTCTTTTGAGAGATGATTGAGATTTTTTTGGGTGATCAAGCCTTAGTGTGTCTTTAAGATATGGGTACATGTTCCACCTTAAAATAGGTGGATTGCTTTACAATAGGTAGGCAGCATTGGATTTTAGATGACAGTGAAAAGCGATCAAAAGCATTGCCATTCTAACAACAGATTGTTTCTATGTTAGTTATGCCATTCTAACAGTAGTCTGTTGTTAACAGATTGTTTCTATTTTTTTATGACTTGAATTATGGTTATCATATGTGTGAAAATCAAGAAATGAGAATTAAGAAATGAAAGCTGAACACCCGATGCGTTGTTCAAGATCAGTGGACGGCCATTTTTAACTGAACTGGCAAATGAAGTTAAAATTTGACAATATTAAGTTTTCCACCAAATTAATAATAGCCGTAAATTTGAGTGGTTTAAGGTTTAATGTGCTTCTGATTTTGCAACAAAGTAGAAGATCTGCTTTGAGGGCGAGAGATTTATTGGCCTCTGCTAATTTGCAAAAAATAGGCCTTTTGTTTGAATGAATGAGCAAAACATTTTTTTGTAGGCGATAAATTAGATTAGGGGAGGAAAAGATATTTAGAAAGGGACAAGTGTACACTCTTGTTTGTATTTGTTCTCTATTCATAAATTATTAGGTTGCCGTTTATCTGGCCTCTCAATTCGTCTTTCCTCATGAAATTTTTATTCGAATAGGTAGTTCAGTTTGCCTGTATGCTGCTGAGTAATTGTGAAAGTAAAACTAAAACAGTATTATTATTATTATTATATGTTGGTTTTCCAGACCAAGAAGATTCCTTCCCCAATTAAAATTTTCCAGTAAGCACTTATGTAAGTCCTGTTTTAATATCTCAAAATCAAGCATATGTCCTTGCATCAACCTGTACAGACCCGCAGAAATCTGTCCCTTGTATAACAGCTATTGGATACAATGGTGTTCAGCTCTGGCAAAAAGGTATATTATTTTTCGGAAAATAGAACTGCATTTATTTATTACTTTTGGGATATCATTTTACGCTGAATATTTTTGTTTTAATTTCCTTGTTTAATTGAATGAATTTCAAGATGGCTTTGTCAGTGCTGAAGATCTGGCATCCAGTCTTGAGAAGGCATGGTTGGGTCTTCATATCCAGGTAAGCTTGTGAAGGTTTTCTTACTTTCGACAAGGGTATGTAAATGTGGGATCCATCTTTAATGGGAACAGCTGCTGCTCTGGGAGCTGATAGGTTAATGATCCATGTTTTGACATGATTGTAATTTTCTTTCTGGAAGAACAATAGCTGTCATGTCAGTCTAGTTGCAAGGTGGCAAAGCGGTTTTCATTTTTCATATATTGCCATCAGTAGCACACGATGATGTTTTAACCCATTTATATTGAGGGTAATTTACTGATTTCCTGGTGTCCATACGTTCTTCTGCTAAGGGTAATTATCTCTTGTATTGTTATCCTATCTGATTTAGTTTGCTATTCTAAATTCTATTGTGCAGTTCCAAATTCCATATGTTGATCTCATACTATTGACTCATCATGCCATTGCTTGAGAATTATTAACGTTGTTGCTTCATCTATATTACCATCTAGATTTGCTGTTGCCAATCAATGTACTCTCTACTTCACAATGACTCCACTACAATCACCACCGCATTGCCACCTTCACCAACACTAACACCATTACCATTATTTCTTCCATTGGGGCCACTTCCTCAAACATGAAAAGATGTCCTTGTATTGTGTTAGAAGCTCAATTGGCGGTTAATTCAACTTCCCCTTAGCAAGCATAAATGTGTCGTTGAAGTCAATGATTACCTTTATAACAACACTCACACTCACGAGCTGCGCATTAAATTTGTAGCTCTTTGGTTGTACAACACAAAACAAAGGGTAATATTCGATTGTAAATTGCAGGAGACAACTGCAACTCTCCTGACTGCTGCACTTGCTTCAAAGAAATCAGAAGTTCCTTCTGGGGCTTGTGATGCTGCTGCATTTGAGCAAGGAAGTTCTTCAAGGACAAATATTCCTTCATCGTCAACAGACAAATTGGTCCATTCCTCGGAGGCTACACCATTGCTGATTTCTGAAGATGCCATCGAGGTAAATTCAAAATTTGGTCATTGAGTGCTAGAATTTGTAGTATCTGCCATATGCATGATATAAATAGTCTGTTATTTTATTCACGTCAACAGGAGCCAAATTCCAAACTGGGTGAGGAGGTATCTCCTGAATCAGATATTGCCTGCGAATCAGAAAGTAAGGTGTTTGAATATTCGTCTTCGACTGCAACAGAAATAGAACAAGTTCATCCTGTGGATCTAAATTCAACTCACTCTACAATTGGTCACCAAGTCGAAGATGAATTTCCTGCCCCAGAAGAGAGCTTAAATGGGGCTGATCATAAGTCAAAAGTTAGCATGGAGGCTTCTGAATTGATTGCTAATGAAGCAAGTGAAGCTGTACCGGGTAGAAAGGCTGAAACTGTAGAAGTAGAGAAAATTGATGTTTCAGACTCTTCTACGAGTAAATCAAATGAAGTTCATATAAATATAAGATTGCCTGATGGTGGCAGTCTTAAAGAAAGGTTTTCCGTGATGAGCACTTTAAGAATGGTCAAAGACTTTGTGGATGAAAACCTAGAAAGCAGCATCGGCTCTTATGATCTAGCCATTCCTTATCCTCGCAAGGTATTTGGTGATCAAGGTATGAACTTCAAGTACCCTGGTGGCCCGCCCGTATTACTTCAGCTCAAGTTATAGCTTTCAAGATTTGCTTGACGAATTTTTAGATGAGGGTTTTGTTTGGTTTTTTTTCCATATGCTTCCCTTTGCAACATTTTTAGCATGCATCTATTCATTTTACAGGTAGTACTAATTCAGTTGCTGATTTCTTTTCTTTTCTTTTTTTTTCCCTTTTGTACAAGTTATACATCATCTACAAAATGTTACTAGAAATGGTGCTCTTGGATATTCGTTTGGACCTTTATAGCTGAAGTGATAAATACAGGAGTTCTTTATCCATGCATGGCTTCTTGTAGACTTGTGCATGAACATTTTGTGGTCTTTTTGGCATTTAATTTACATGTAGATGTAATTTTCTGACATAACTGACCGTATGCACTACACTTTACCGTAGAAAGACATGACGAAAATGCATCTAGCAGAGAGCTCTCACATTATTGTACTAGACAAATCATTCTTGACCAAAAAATATTTGACAGACTTATGATCTGATTATTATTCTTTTCATCGGGATTTAGATTATTAAATGGCCAATTGGGAACCACGGATATAGATAGACTACGATATGATATGGGTACGACGATATGACAAAACTTAAAAAAATTGGACACGAATATGATCAAGATATGCCTACTATAGAATATATTTTACATTTTTACTATGATGTAATTATTAGTTTTTAATTTCTAGTAAGTTCTTTAATAGTAATTCAAAAATATGAAATGTTTACTTTGAAGTAAGCATAGAGCATCTTATCATAGTATATTCACAAAGTGAATGTGTCTAATTTAAGAAACCAGAACTAGGATTTAAGTAACTGATTTGTTTAGAAGTATTTGTTGCTACATTCTTTGGTATGTGATACTAGATATTACTTGCAAAACACTAACCTATCTTCAAAGACACGTGAATTTTTTTTCTTTGCATCATTATATTGTAATTTGAGAGGAAATGGTAAAGATTACATAGATTGCTATGTCTATCAACTGCTGTATTCGAAGTATATTCATCTTACTGTGTCTTTGAAGATATAGTGATGATGTAGATGGTACTGGTGGAGGTGGTGGAAATGATTGGGCAATGCTGATTTCACTTTCTTTAATTACTGTGTCTTCTAAAGTTGTTTATTTTCCAGAGTTTTTCATTCAAACTCATGATTTTAAAGTGAAATAAAGGTGAGAGAGAATAGAAAATGATAGGAACAATGAAAGTGCACACCATCTTTAAACTTGATTTCTAAATTAGCATTCTTGAAAGTAGTTGAACTATTTTTATGACCACCTGCAGAGAAGCCCCAACATTAAGAAGTCGAGAGTGAGTTTTTTATTTTCGAAGCTAGGCAGAGGAGAGTCATAAACAATATGTGTTGGTGTGAAAATGATGCTTTTTTTTAACCTTTTGGCTATGGTCTAACTTTGGTATCTGTTATCAGTATATGAGAGGGAAAATGACAGAAATAATCCTTTTTTTAGTGTGCGATAGTTGCATGAAAAAAGTGAAGGTGTTTGATGTCCCATAACCCTACGAGTGGTGGCTAAGCCATTGACTAACTTAGAAGCAACCAAATTAACATTGGCCCTACATGTGGGTTTATGTATGAAATATGTATGCAGCTTTTTATATCTGTAAACACAGGTACATTTTTCCTAAAACTTCTAGATGAAAATTTTTTTTTTTTGGAGTTTTTTTGTTTTAATTTCTTTCTGTATACTAGAAGAAAGGATAATTTAAATTCCAAGATTTTTAGGCAGCTTAAACATCTAAAACATGTGAGATGGGCATTGAGGAGTGCTCGAGAGATGTCATTGTTCAATATTTCTCCTCTGAGGATGGTGGCAGAACTACACGTAGACGTGGGGAGGGAAGGTGCCATTCCCTCGGTTTTGGTAGAACTTGGCTGAGTAGAGTCTTGAATAAGGAATTCAATCCATCTATTAAATGCCCCCGCAAGAAAGAAAGAGAAAAAAAGAAAAAAGGTTGGGGGGGGGGTCAAACTTTTTTTTTTTGAACTTTGTATAATAGCCTAATATGGCATTTAAATATGGATCTTTAATGTTATACTTTTGTGAGTGCAATTGTTAATATCTCTTGATTCATGATTGTGAATACACTGAGTACATCTATATTCAAGTGTTGTGAAAATATGTCTGGATTTAATCCAGATTTAGGAAGGGATTTGTGTTGGTTGTAGTGGCTATTGGAAAATTGGATTGAGGCATGCAAAAAAAAAAAAAAGAAGATAAAATCGTACTTCCATCACTGAGCGTGGACACAACTTTTCATTAGGATGTCCTAAGGATTTACATTTCTCAGGGAAAGCAGTCAACACCCGGCCTAGATTTGTGAATGGTAAAACTGAGAAAGGCTCAAAGCCCATTTTGTATCAGGAGCAGGGAGCTAAATCATGTATTATGGTGTGAAATATTTTATTTCAGATGGTTTGCATGTTGGTACACTGTTTTTGTGTTTCCATCATTATCTATGGAGGCACTAAAATTTATGTAGTGAATGCTATTTCATACCATGATGCTTTACTGATAGATCCTGTACCAAAAAAAAGGTATGGAATCAGTACGTTGATCCGTAAAAAGCTGTTGGTTTCATTTTTATT